CCCCAAAACCCCAAAACCCCAAAACCCCATCAATTAAGTTGTATAAGTATTGAAAATTCAAAATATTTATTGTTCTTAAATTAAGTTTCTTATTCAAAATATTAGAAATGGAAGAGTAAAGCTTTGAAGGAGAAATCGCTTTCAATACAGTAAATATTTAACTCGATTTTTAAGCCTTATCTAATTAACTCATATTTTAGGTTGATTATTTAGTTGGTGTGAGATAAATATAGTAAACAGCATTCGATCCTTTGAATTAAAGACTATATGTTGAAGTTGAGGAGAAGTTAACAGGTAACATTTGGAAAGGAGATTTTCAAGCTAAATATATTGAGGATATTGCAAATAAGACTGGTGTACCCAAGAAATTTAATGTCTTTGTGAAAATGCTGATACAGGCTTTAAGGAGTTAAAATGAGAGTGTTTGCATAGATCTACTTACATTTGCAGACTTAGAGGCACTGAAAACAAAGGGACAGAGTGCAAACAACAGAAGCAATTTAAATCAAACAACCACTAACAACAAGAGATACTTTATATTAACTTACATAACAGAGTTTGAGAGAGTACATTACCCATTATCACTAAATTATGTTGAGGAGCCTGAGACTGATCAGTTAAGAAGAACGATCGAAAGAATGAGAAATATGATTCTAATGCAGAAATCCAACACATTCTCCAATCATTAATAGCCATTTGGTGGTTTGAACACTAACAACTTTAGCTAGACTGCTTATAATAAGATAGATGATTTCACCTAAATTGAGTAGGAAAATGATAATCTAAAAAGACAGATCACTGATCTAGAATCTCAATTCAGCTAAAGTCATTAGGAATTTTTCAGTCTCTCTTAACAAAAGTTCTACACAGAGAGTGAATACGACAAATATAAAAGAAATGCTTAGAGGGAGATATTAACTCTTCAAGAATAAGTAAGAAATGCTGAGGGAGAATTATAGCAACTGTAAGAATAACTCAAAGAGAAGAACTCAGTGAACGGATCTAATAGAATAACTTAGACTTCAGGTTTTAGTCTTAATTCAGGTTAAGTTTAAGGGTCACAAATTTCAGATATGGATCACGTAAAAAGATAACTTGAAGATGTCTCTCATTAGTTAGAGTAAGAAAGGTCTACAACTGGATCAATGATTGATAGACAAGATAAGGAAATTGAAGAGTGCAAAAAGGAATTAGAAGATTAAAGAGAAAATGAAAAAAAGTTGAAAGCAAGGCAAAAGGAATTATAAGATGAGCTAGATTAAACCCTTAAAAGGATAGAGTAATTGCAGAGAGGGGTTTCAACTCCAGTGAGAAGAAGACCAGTAGGAGGTTACGGAACTACTGGATCAGGCAATGGCTCTAAAAATGCAAGTCCCTACAGCAGAAATAGTAGCAACTCAAAGAAGCAAGCTACTCCTACTAACTATAATAAGAATCCTGTTACCAACAATGTCTATAACAGAAATAGAGTTGGTTCAAATGGTAGAACTACTGGAGTTACAGGACCTCAGCGACAATCTCCCGCGACTTAGAATAGGTTCGGTAATAACAAGCCTCCTAGTCAAGTTAGACAACCATCTAATACTCGATAATCCCCTACAACTTACAATAGGAATCCTGTATAGAGGCAACCATATCAAAGAAATACTTCAAATAATAGAAGTGGATCTCTTAATAATAGAGCTGCCAATACAACTAACTAGAGATCTACAAATGGAACTAATTATGGACAAAATAAACAAGTTGCTTAAAGAGTTGGAGCTAACTAAAAATCTACTACAAATTCAGGTGTATATGACAGACTCTATGGAAATAAAAGCAAGCCATCTTCACTTAACAACGCTTAATCTAATGAAAGGCAGTAATAGGATTATCAGATAGCAGAAAGAGACAATCAGCCAGAAACTGTTAATATCAACATTATTGGCAATCAATAAAGCAAAAAGATTCTAGATAACAAAGAAAACTAGCTTATGTAAAGTAACTCAAGTAATAATGGAGGAGGTTCATTCATTAATAGGCATCAAGATAATTTTGAGACAGCAAATGCTGGTGGAAATAATTATGATGATGTTGATGTCAAGGATATTAACTCAAAACTTTCAAGATTACAGGATCTTTTGCAGAAAGCAAAGCAAACTTGAATTAAATGATAACTTAGTAGACTAAAACTAATGGAATAGCAATATAAAAATATATTAATTAGCTATATCAATATTTTTAACATTAAATCGTTTTATATTAATTCCGTTCTATCTTCAAATAATAATCACCTTATCAGAGGCTTCTATTTGAACAAGATCTATATGCTTGCTCTCATTTCAATCATTCATCGTCATCATCTTAAAGGAAAAAGTTAATCAGCTTTTCTCCGATACCTCTTGTATTCTATTATTCTGCGCCTGCATCCAAAGTTGTAGGTTTCTTTATCAAACCTAGTGACTATTTCTCCTCCATTGTGAATCCTAATATTTTGCTCATTGCATCAAGCATTTAGAACTTAACGTCCCTTGAGCTATTGGGGTTGACATAATTAATCAGAAACTTATTAATCATTCTACGATCTACCATGAATTCACTTTACTCGCTGTCTTTTTTAACTTTTTCAACTAACTCTTGAGAGTATTTCTTTAATTCAAGGTTCTCTATTTCACATTTTTATAGTTTTCCATGGAGGTCTTAATTTATTTCCTCTTTTAATTAAAGTTAGTTTTAGATCTCAACTATCTCCCTGATTCGCTCCTTCATTTCATTATTTGATATCTGCAAAGTCTATAAAAGTGCCTTATCCTCTGCCTATTCTCTTTCTTTCAATCTTAAGTTCTAATCATATTCATCCTATTGTTATTAAATTGCTCTTTAAAGCAAAGACACTGTCTTTCTTGCCTCCTCAATTTCCCCTTCTTTAGATTTGATCTGGGCCTCTTGCCATTTTATCTCCTGCTAAGCTTTTTCATGTTGCAATTTATAATCTTCTTACAGGTCATTTTAGCCTTATAGCTATTTAATTTACTTTCTGAGTCTTTTGATTTCTTCATCTAAATTACTTACCTTTTCTTTTAGAGTTGCATTCTCAACTACTAACATCTCAGTTTTGTTTCTTCCTTCCTCTAATTTCATTTAAAAATCTAGTTTTTATTGGAGTACTTCTTAAAGCTGATTCTAAATGACCTCCTTTTCCTATGCTAGTTAATCTTACTTTTCCTTTAACTTTGGAATTTCTTTGCTTTTTGTTAGCATATCGTTGCATTCTTTTTAAAGTTTAGTAAATTAACTCTAAAGTGTGTCTTTCTTGGATGTAAGATCTTAGAATTATAACTATTAGTCTTGTATGTATAAATTCAATTAAAGAGTTAACTAGAGTTATGTATCAAAGAACTTATAAAGTTCACTCTCTCTAAAATCGTCCTCCTTCTTTTTAGCTTTTGGAAGCGATCCAAATCTTTAATTCAACCATTATTGAGCATCTTTTATAGCTTATTTTTAAAATTTGGATAGATTAAGTTGCTTAAATCTCTCATTAACTTATTCCCAGCACTCCTTCATTGTTATTATATTTGATGGATCTAGCTATAGAGTACCTTTATAATTATCCTTGATAAGTTGATTATAAGTATTCACCAAAACTTGAACATCATCATTTTAAGCTAATTTTTCTTAAATTTCAAAAACTTTTGTCAAACTTTGAGTTAATGTTTGATAACACTAATTAATTATATGCTTTTTTTACTCAAGAGATTCCTATTTATAACTATTTTCTAATACTTATAGTTTGTCACTCCAAACCTTTTCTTGTTCTTTAGATTGTTTAGTGAAATCTTTTTCCTATTAATCTATTTTTTCATTTAACACCATAAGTTTATCTGATAACTTGTCTTGAAAATCTTTCTCTAAATTTAATTTGAGGAGTTCGTTTTATTCTTCTATTGATTTAATTTTCAAACGATGCTCAGTTTATAAATCTTCAGTCACAAGCTAAATTTTGTCTTGATATACTTTTTCAAGTGAAAGTAACTTATCTGATATTTTGAAATTTACTTCACGCAAAATGACATTATTCTATTCCAGTTCACGAATAGCATTTTCTAGATAGATATTTTATTCAAAAATCTTTCTAGGCTTCAATAAATAAATGATTTCAGATAATGCTTTGCTTAAAATCTCACTATTCTGAGCAATAGTTTGATTTTATGATTGTGCATTTGAATTATTTTACTTTTTGCCTTTTTTGTTCTTTCCACCTCCATTTTCTTAGTTTTGATTTTGTTCTGAGGCTATCTAAGATTGAACTAAGTTGCTCAATATTGATTCAATCTCACTAATTTATCTCCCAAATTCATTTTCAAAGTTGTTATTCTTTTAAATTGAGACTTATAAATCTTTATTCAGTAAGTTTAACTCATGATCTTTTGCCTGACTCAGTTATCTTTCTTTTTGAATCACCTCAAGCAATATGTCTATTTGCTAACTTTGACTATCTGTTGATTCAGTCTGGGCTTATTTAGGCTGTAACTCTTTAATCTACTATTCTAAACTAACAACTCTAGACCTAAATGAATCAATAGTTGCTTCATTGTCCTTAAGAATATTCTAATAGGCCTTTATTCTCTCTTCAAATTCCTCTTCTTGATAATTGCTACTCATTTATTTAGTCCCTTTGATATCTTTTGAATTGTTTTTATTGCCATTGTTAGAACTTTCTGTGGCTCCCGCTCTCTTTTACTCATTAGCTTCTGTTTTTCTGCCTTCAGATTTAGATGTCTTGCTTATTTACTTTATATCATTATTTTTATGCTTTTCTTAATCTGTAGTTTTATCTGTAGTAATCCCGGTTTTAGACTTCTGTTGAAGAGAGGGGATAAAAGAGTTAAAGAAGTCATCCGCTTATTCCTTTATAGCAGCTGTTGGAGGACGAGTACTATTATCATCAACAATTGCATCAAGTATCTCTTCGTCATCTTATTCTTAATCGTTCTGATTCTATTAGACAATTATGTTCTTTGCCATTGACTAAATGTTTGAAGCTTGCTCCTTTAGTTTACTGAGACCACTTAAAAAGTATGACATTGTTGTTTGTTGTGTATAATTTGATAATTATAATGCTAATTGATTTAATCCAATCAGAATAATTCAAATATTTATTTTAAATCTCATTAAGAGGGGTTTTGGGGTTTTGGGGAGATCGGAA